GGTTGGTTGGTTGGTTGGTTGGTTGGTTTCTTTCTTTCTTCCAAGACCTCATGAAACCATGTGAAAGTGCTTTTTAAACTGTGAAACTTTTCACAGCTGCTTGTTTTATAATTGATACCACTTTTTTTTTCTTTCAATGCATACTTATCCTCGATGCCCAGGCAGATAAGGAGAAGGCAGGTTTTGCAGACCCCTCCCCAGATAGAAAACTATGACACCCACCCTCCCCGCCCCCACCAAAGGAATAAAGAAGTAAGAACCAGACCTGGGACCAAACCCCAGGTCTCTCTGACCATCACATCATAGCACCTCCTCTGAAGTCAATTTTGGCTCCCAGTCACACATCCAGAGCGCACTCAGACAGCACAGTGCCTTCCCTCCCCATGTATCAACTGGGTCTACCCAGTTTTAAAAAAAAAAATTTTAAAGTCAGCACTCCCACCTTATGTGGCATTTATTTCCAGGGGAGGCCTGCCTTGGGTTCCCGTGGACAGATGTTGCTTTGTGCCTGCCTGACACAGCTGGCAGCCCTTGCACAGCTGCCCCAAGCAGGTGGCCAAGGATGGAGTCCACCCCCGGCCCAGGAGCAAGGATGACAATCCCTGTGGGACTCAGACCCTGGAAGCCCTCTACTCATTCCTCTGCAGCCTGGGACCCCAGAACACCCTCCCAAACACACAGAATCAGACTTCAAAAGGGGTCTGAGAGGTAGAGAGGAGAGGCCAAGCTGCCCCCCACCCCAATTCCCAACCAGGCACAGCTAAGCTAAGGTAGGCCCTGGGGAGTGGAAGAAGTCACTGACCCCTTCTATCAGCCATCTGTGAGCTCCCGCCCAACCTAACTAGCGGAATGGGAAGGAGGATAAAGAGGTCCAGACAGATGGCAGGGCGCTTTGGGAAGGAGGGCTCTGCAGGAATGTGATGCGAGGCCCACTTTGGGATGTGTTTTGTTATCTGTCCGGTTCTAGTTCCCCTCGGTTCTGCATCAACCCGAAATCTCCTAGACTAAAAGGAGGGTCAAAACAGTCAGGAGGGGGTTGGGAGATTGGAGAGAAGACCCTATTTTCTGCCAATTGTCTCTTCCCATCTGAAAGTCAGAGCATTGTACTGCAACTAAAGTGCGTGCGTGCACAGGGGGCGGGAGACTGGCACAACCGAGTCTAAAAATACTCGATAAAAATGCTAATCCCGAAGGCAAAGAAAGAACGAAGAAGGAATCTGTCAATCACGAGGCTCCCGCTCCTCACCCACAGCCCCAGCTGTACGGACTGCATTCCTGTAGACGAGGAAAGAAGTGGGGGGACAGGACCGAAGCAAAGAAAGGCAGAGACACCACCACCTCCACGAGCGCGGGCCGCGGGGGCGGGAGGCGGCGGCGGAGGAGGGGCTCCGGCCCGCGGAGCCGAACAAAGCGGGCCTCAACTTGTAGCCCGCAGCTCCCCGGGGTGGGGGCGGCCGATTCCAGCAGTACCCCTTTTCTCGGAGGTGGACAGCGAATGTGAGATCTGGAAGCGAGTGCCGAGGAGGAGCACCAGGTTGTGAATCTTTGCAAATCCAGAGGTTTTGTTTGGGGTTCCCCCCCCCCTTCATGTCCGCGCTTTGGCTCTCCCCTTGCACACGCACACGCATATACACACACACACACGCACACGCACACACGCACACGCACACACACACACACACACACACAATCGCTCCCTCTCCAACCCCACCGGGCAGGCCCCGCAGCACTAGGGGGCTGGGCCGGCGCGCCTTCCGGACCCCCAGGCGGGCTCCCACCTGGGGATGGTGATGCACTTGGTGTTGACGTTCTGCGTGGTGATGGCCTTCTCCAGCTCATCCAGCTGCCCCGTCTTCTTGAGCTTCTTGACCAAGCTCTTGACCGCCTTCTCGCACCACTTCTCCTCCTGCCCGTTCTGCTCGCCCTTCTTCCAGCCCAGCAGGCGCTTCACGATCGGGGGAGTAAAGGGCAGGATGGACGACATGGCTGGGGAAGGCGCGCGCACAGCGAGGGGC